GCTGTGAGGCGGAGGGCTGCCGAGCCTGGGGTCCCCGGGTGCGGTGTGGGGGTGGCAGGCGAGCGCCTTGCGGGGTGTTTCCTCCCCCGTGGGCCGGGTAAGCCGGTACTGATCACCTCAGAGAAGCGAGCGTGCATCGTGGTGTCGGGTGTGTGGCAAAACTTCGAAGTTTAAACACTTTGCTCTGGAAAGGAGCGAGCCTTTCCTCCCTCACTAGTTAGTTACTGAAGAATTCCCCACGTGTGTGAACTTTCAGCTTTATTTCCCGCTCAATTTCAATACCGCTGTCCTTCCAGGTTCTCCTGGGTTAGTTGTGGCGGTGGACGAACCCCGAGCTGCTGCCCAGGCCGTACCGCTGCCGGACGGCTTCCCGGCCGAGGGGCTCGCCACACGGAGGAACCACATCTGAAGTGAGCTGCTCACTGGGCCTCAGCGTCTCTGCGGGTGGTGGGTGTAAAATATAGGATGTGCAGATGGTAACGCCGTGGCTGAGGCGGTCAGGAGGGCAAAGGTGGGGAAATGTGATGGAGGCAGTAAAGGTTTTAGTTAGTTTCGGTTTTAATATGGGATTGCAGCTCCTGGGCTAAAGGAGGACAATGGAAAGAGATTTTTTTGCCTTTTGTAAAATGGCAAAAGGATTAGAAGCTGAGGGAAAAGGTAAAAAGACGGCACAATACATGTACGGTGGAATAAATTACCTGGGTGAAAAAAATGAAGTGAAGCCAAGAAGGAGCGAATTAAACCAGCAGCAGGTAATTCCACCCTGGTTGTACAATGCCCTGGCCTAAGCACAAAGCAGAGCAATTACATGATTCTGAACTACCACAGTTCCAGTGAAACCGCTGTGATTATAAGCGCTGCAAGTGGATTCAATTGTGGTTCGTGTCATGTAAATACATAAGGTAAAAGTACATAAACATCATAAATGGGGGGATGGACTCTGAAGAAATTTGTGTTGCTTTTATTGAAGCAATGAAATGCGTGGAGGTTCTTCTGTAGATAAGGTAGGAAACAGGCTGTGAGCAGATGTTGTCTTTTGTACTATCTCAAATGCAGTTGATTTTCATATAAAGCAAATTGAACGTGGACTGATCTGCCAAGTATGTGGCATCAGTGACGAGAATGTTGGGCTGATAATCTCTCCTACCACACAGCTGGGTGTAGTAAAATATCTGCCTGTGACCACATTAAATAGAAGGATGAACAAAGAAGCTACACTGAATACAGTAATGTTAAATCTTTACAATGGTGTGGGGAGACAGAGAATGTGAAAGTGAAGGTATTTATTTCTACCTAGTATAAAAGTTTAAGCCAGGCCTGTGCGAGCAACTTCAAATCTTATAAGTATCAGCTGAAGTCAGTATATATATGTGTGTATATATCTGTATATGTATGAAAATGATCAGCAAAGGTGCTACAGACTGCTTCTATATTAGAACGTTTTGCTAGTGTATTAACAAATCTCTTTTCATGTATGCCTTTGTAAGTGGCAAGTCTTGACAAAAGCCACATCTGTCATTACACAGAAAGTGAATGACTAATGTGAGAAAGCAGGAGAAGAGAAAGCAAACATAGAGGAGCTAGTCAATACAAAGAAAAGTGATTAAGGATATTGAGACCAACTAATAAGGTGTGAAAAAAACAGTATTTAAAGAGGAAAAATGCAACGACTTCTGTTTGTAAGTACTACATCTGTGGAAAGTCAATATAATTTTGCATGCACACGAGCAGTAGGAACTTTGTCCCCTGGAGTGGTTTTGCAGGCAGCAGTGTTTAGAAAAGGCTGGTGTCTGAGCTGGCTGAGTTTCAGGTCAAGCATCTCCAGGTCACACTGTTGAGTGCATGGCAAGAAATAACCA